AAACCCTGCAACTCCAAGATCTGTTATTCCTTCTAGACTCACGATCTGCTACCGTAGATACTATCTAACCAAGCTGCTAAATTTCAGACTCACAATCTTCTACCAAGATTTGCTGTATTTGTCTTACAATCTTCTGCACACGTCTTTTCCAAGTGGATACCCAGGAATCACCTATTCATGTTCTTCTTCGTGCGTTTGAATCCATTCCTTAAAGTTTTAAGGAAGCCAAGTGTTTTGGATTAACGAACCTTGATGTTTTCCCAAAACTCAGTTGTCAGATCACAAGGATGAATCAATCAATGAATAGCAATTGTAGCACAATCAAGCAACCTCCTGAAATTCATCCTAGACATTTGTATTTATAGTCAGGGACGCTTAGATGTTATGGGCCGTGTAAAACTTTTCAAAATCATGAATTAGGTCTGGCCACATAAGTACGTCGCTCGAACGAGGAAGTCTTTCGGTCGAGTGAGGGTCATGTCGCGCGAGTGACAACGAGGCGAAAGGCGAGCAACACAGATTCTGTTTCTGACGCTCGAGCTAAGTCTTGACAACATTCTAGCGAAATTCCAGCGTCGCGTTTTCCCTGTTTTCTACTGCTAACCCTAACTTAACTCATCTGTATAAAATTGTATCCAAGTCCCTGACTTTTTACAAGTGTTCAATTAAGACCCTTTTGTTCACAAACATGCCAATTACAACATGGGACCTAACAAATCAAATTTCAAAATCTTTAACATATAACACATATATCACTTATAGAAATTTAGAACAAATTTTATGTTAAATGTATGAATTATATGGAAAACGAATGTGTGTAAATATTAGTCAGGCATCTTGTGCACCCACTCCTCCCTCTAGTATTAAGGAAGACGAAGTTGAAACATTAAATTTGTTTAAAGGCATTAATACATATAGATATGATGCAATATATTCCTCTAGAAGTAGTAAATCTACCACTTGTAAGCAGATATCGGACGCAAGTCCAAATGTATTGCTTGTTGAATTACTTGATTACTTTAATCATAATATGCCTAGTAATGCATTAATTGAAAAAAATTCAGAAGAAGTAATTAATTCAGAAAATATGAACGACGATGGCTCGTGGTTTATGCGATTGCAAATGACTTATTAATACATCCGATTAGTACTTTAGATTTGAAGTCTACAATTAGTGCACGTAAAACTATTTTGTCTGAGCTTAGGAGCCGACTAAAAGAAGATATTTTGGAAACATTAATGTGCGTGAATGATTGACAAGACTCTCATTTCCAATTGTAAGATAAATATGTCATCAGGTAAGTGATATTTAATTTAACTATATTAATAAAAAAATTATTTTATAATACTATTTTTTGTTTTAAAAAAATTGTACCTGCAGCAAGTTCGTGTACAATTTTTAATTCTGTCTACTCGAAATTTAAGTAGACGTTTCCAAACCAGGATAAAGGAAGGGGCTCTATCTAAAAATGAAGGGGCAAGCCACGAGCTTGAGGGCCAAGCTGAGAGGAACGAGCCTATCATTCCAAATGACCCATGAGCTTGTGGGCAATATGGCCGAGCCGAGTTTTATAATTATGTTTTCAATGTATTTAGGTGCAGGACTTGACCTATACTGGACTAATTACCATGGTATGCACATATATTTTCTCTATTTATTTTGTCAAAATGTATAAAATTCATATAGTTAAAAAGTACAATCCTAATTACCATATACATACTGTACATTCACGTATATTCAATGTAAGATCATCTCAAATGGTACATCAAATTTGATGTAATAAATTTAATTGGTGCAACATTATTTACACCAAATTTGGTGTAAGACTATCTCCAATGGTACATCTATGTCCTTTTAGATGTAAAATTTGGTGCTAAGAGCATCTCCAAATTTTTAAAAAAAATTGGTGTAACCATTGATAATGCTCTAAGAAGGTAGAAAAAATATTGACACGAACTGAGTGGGGTTAATAAATTAAGAAAGACGTCCTCAAGCAGTCATTCTATTTGCAATAATAGAGTTGCATTTTGAATTTAACTTTAGGATGACGAATTGTCATTTTGTTTGTTAATTCCATCATTATGTAGCGTATGCTAATAATTTTGGAGGAGGTGAAAAACATTCTAGTAAAAATTTGTGTTACATCTTATTTAAAGTTTA